TTTTTTGAGACAGAGTGTCACAATATTACCCTGGCTAGAGTGCAGTGGTGTCATCACAGCTCACTGCAACCTCAAACTCCTAGGCTCAAGCGATTCTTCTGCCTCAGCCTCCCAAGTAGCTGGGACTACAAGCATGCACCTCTGCACCCACCTAATTTTTTCTATTTTTAGTAGAGACAGGATTTTGATTTTGCTCAGGCTGGTCTTGAACTCTTGGCCTTAAGCAATCCTCCTGCCTTGGCCTCTCAGAATGCTAAGATTACAGGTGTGAGCCTCTGCTCCAGCCTCAACATATGTGTTAATCAACTATTTAAGTTATCAGTGAGGTTTCCAGTCAACAGTAGGCTATTAGCAGTTAAGTTTGGGGGAAGTCAAAAGTTATGCATGGATTTTTGACTATGCAGGAGTCAGCATTCCCTAACCCCCAAGCTGTCCAAGGGTGAGCTGTACGTAATTGGTTAAACACAGTGTTCTGGAAGAAAATTTACAGATGAAAGTTAAAAAATTTACCTGTTCCGATAAACATGACATCATACTGGCCGTCTTCTGCGTCCACTCGGTCTACTACAATTTGTGTAAACTGATAGTTTACATCAGTTTTAATCATTATAGGGCGGTTATTAATAGGAAACACTGGGTTGTACATGGCTGGATGGCTTCTTGCAAATGTTATAACATCATCAGGAAGGTCTTTTGTAGAATCAAACCCACCAAATGTTTTACTGGGACACTATTAGGATAAAGAGAAGAATATCTTTTGGTTAAAATCTAATCAATAAGATTATAAATTATATAAAGACATCTGGCTTCAATGGTCAGGGAACCTAAACCTGTGATTATTTTTTAAAGTTAGGTAATAAGTAAACTAAGAAGTTATAATTAGTTATTATTGGTTTTTATCTACTTAAATTAGTAATTTCCATATACAGTATTTATTTCCTAAATGTATCTGAATTCTCAGTGAGATTTACGTATGTCATCATTTCTTACCAAAAATTGTAAATGCACCTAATGAATTCAGTGTACAGGAGAAGTCTGATGCCTCTATTAGTCACATCACTATAAGTATTATCTACATAATAGATGAGGTATTTGATGTAATGAAGGGAATATGCTACAACTAAATGCAATTAAACATTAGATTAAGGAAGCTCAGATAATTTTTTGCATATATTTAATTTTTTTATTAAGGCTTCATACTAAAATGCTCTTTTTAAAACTATTTTTCAATTTTTCATTTTTGATTTTTATGGGTAGATGATAGTTGTATATATTTATGGGGTACACGTGATATTTTGATACAGGCATACAATGTGAATTAATCAAATCAGGGTAATTGGGGTATTCATCACCTCAGGCACTTATCATTTCTTTGTGTTAGGAACATTCTAATTCCACGCTTTTAGGTATTTTAAAGTATGCCCTAACTTCTTACTGATTACAGTGACTTTGGTGTGCCATATAGCGGTGGCGGGGGATAAAGTGGAGATAGTCAATGGGCGCAAAAATATAGTTAGATAGTTAAATGCTCGTTTCAAACTTAAAAAACAATATAAACTGTTCTTTATTGCTTTGTTCCTAATATAACCCTGAAAAAGTACCACCAATGACTTTAATAAATAAAATAATTGCAGAGATGAGGAAAGACATTATTCAAAGTGTTTAGCAACCTGTATTGCATAAAAACCCACCAATTAGAACGGTCATCATGACCAAGGAAAAGAGATAATGGCCCTAGAAGCCAGAAAAGGTGTCTTGTTGGGCACTGGCATGACGTCAACTCTGGACGTAAACACACCATATAAGGCAATAAAACCAAAAAGAGGAAATTAAGATTTCACTGTGTCTGTTTTTAATTATGCAGTACAAGTGTTCATTGAGTACAATATATGTGAAATCTCTTGCTTTTTTATCTTACCCTTAAGTAATTTCTGCCTTTAATGTAAGAGTTTGGGAATTAAAATGTAATTAAGAGAGGTTCCTGATCTCACAAGAACCTTAGAATGAGAAATCAATTGTCCTTGCCATTAGTTTGAAAAAATCATTAATAATTCATGAGAGATAAAATAAACCTGTTCTGAAG